GGGGCCGCAACGGGGCCGCGACAAAGCCGCGGCGGGCGACGGGGCAGGGCCGGGGCGGCGCCGAGACAGGGCCGCGACGGGGTGGCGCCGGGCGACGGGGCAGGGCCACAACGGGGGGCCGCGACGAGAGGGCGCGACGGGGGGGCCGCGACGGGGGGCCGCGACGGGGGGTCGCGACGGGGGGCCGCGACGGGGGGCCACGACGGGGGGCCGCGACGGGGGGGGGGGGCCGCGGCGTGGGGCCGCGACGGGGGGCGGCGACGTGGGGCCGCGACGGGGCCGCGCCAGGCGACGGGGCAGGGCCGGGGCGAGGCACCGCCGCGCGCCACGGGGCGCCCGACGGTCAGAAAACCGCCGCGCGCCACGAGCGCACGGCGGGAAGAAAAAAGGGCCGCGCGCCATAGGCGCGCGGCAGGCAAAGTAGTAGCAGCGGAAGCAGGTGGGCCCACAGGCCAAGAGCGTAACTGCTCTGACACCATGTTAAGATAGTAGGCAGTATGAGGAGCCATGGCTAGGGTTTAGCTAGCCAGGCAAGACAGAATGAGCAAAAGAAGAGGTTTTCACTAGCAGCAATGAGGATACATATAGCAAACCCTAGATGGGTTGTACTCGCTATAGAGCACCCCACTACAGGCTAGAGAATAACATTCTGACATTAGCATACTGCTTATGGGAGTTCTGCATCGTGGTGAGACGTTGCAGAGTCTTCTCCCATATCTGCTGGCTGGTGGTGACAAAGTCTCGAGCGGCTTGGACGTGTGCCGGTGCGGTTGGATGTTCTGTTGTAAGCAAACTCCAGTGTTGGTAACTGTTGATCCCAGTGGATGACGGCGTCCTTGTATGCTCGCGGGAACTCATGGGTTTGTTGGGGACTACGCTTGCTATGTCTTCAATATACTACCCCAAGATAGATGGACCAACAGAGCTGTTGAACCAGGTGGTTGAACAGTTACAGCTTCAGCTGCAGCCGTGGCCTAGGGATGAATTGTCCCATTTTACAGAACTTGTCGATCACTACGAGTATATCATCATGCCCTCGAGTGGTCGGTGGCAATCCAGTGATGAAGTCTAGACTGACAACTTGCCATGTCTGCTCCGGTATGGGTAAAGGCTGAAATGACCCTTATTTTTTCTGCTTGCTACTCTTCATCCGCTGGCAGGTGTCGCACGAGGTGACGAACTGCTGCACGTCTGTTGCCATCCGGGGCCAATAGTAGTACTTAGCTATGTCCGCAAGGGACTTGTTGATCCTGAAGTGTCCCGCGTACGCTACGTCGTGGAAATCCTCCAATAGGATTTGTCGTAGCGGGGCATAGTTCGAAACCGAAAGCTTCCATGAACCCTTCCGTACTACTAGGTCCTTCTCCCACTGTAACAGTTTCTGCTTTTCTGCTGTTGCAATTTATGGATCTACGAAGTACCCATGTACGAATTAACCTTTGAGTAATAGGTGCATCCCATCTATCTGGATCCCTGCCACGTATCGGGGTCAGCTTAATGCATCGGCCTTGTTGTCAAGTCCCGGTTTGTAGACGATGTCATAGTGTAAGTGTGTCTCGAGGAAGTCCATCCACCGGACCTGTCGCCTGGAGAGTGTAAGCTGCGACTTAAGGCATTTCAGGCTGTAGTGGTTAGTGTCGACTGTTTTTTTGGCTCGTTCCAGGTTACACCTCCCCGCCTTAAAAGCAATGACGATTTCCAGGACCTCCGTGTCGTGTATGGGGTGATTGAGCTCTGCTCCGTGTAGTTTCTTACTGAGATATGCGATTGGTTGCAATCAGCGGATCCAGCATGCCCCGACTGCCTGGTCACTCGCGGCTACTTCCACCACGTATTCCTTCTCTAGATCGGGCAGGATCAGTACTGGGGTGGTTATCTGTAGCTGCTCCATGGCGTATTGTTGAGGAGTATCTTATTTGTAGGGAGTACCATTTTTCAATAAGTTCGCGAGGTGTGGCGATCTTCGCATACTGTGGTGCAAACCAATTGTAATTAGTGAAGCCTAGGAACTGCTACACTTCTTCGACATTCTCCAAAACTTTCCACTATTTGACGGCTTCGATCTTCCGCGCGTCCACGTGTACATTCTTAAGGGCGAAGCCGCTGTTTGACAGCTTCACGTAGAATTGAATTCTCCGCAGGATCTCGAAAACTTTCCGTGGATATTCCTCGTGCTCCATGTTTTTGGAGTAGATGAGAATGTCGTCCAAGTACACCACCACGCACTCGTCTAGCAGGGGCCATAGTATATAGTTTTTCTATGCTTGGAATATAGCTGGTGTGTTGTAGTATCGAAACGACATCACCAGACATTCGTAAGAGCTGTATCTGGTATAAAATGCCATCTTGTGGATCGAGTTGTCCGCCATTTTGATTTGCTAGTAACCCAACCGTAAGTCCAGTTTAGAGATCGCCGTTGCCCCGCGTAGTTGGTCCATAACGTCGTCTATGCGCGGGATGGGATATTTGTTTTTATCGGTCTGTTTGTTGAGAGCCCGGTAGTCGATGCACATCCGTAAACTACCGTTCGTCTTAGGAGTGAAGAGAACCGGTGCACCGTAGGGTAATGTGGAGGGTCGGACAAGTCCACGAAACAGCAAGTACTCAATCTGCTTCTTCATGTCTTCTAGCTCTGCTGGGCTGAGGCGGTACGGTGCACGGAATGTTGGTTTCGAACCTGGCTCTTCTACGATCTTGTGCTAGTGAGTTCGCTTCAGTGGCACTCGTGGAGGTAGGTCGTCCAGCATGATATCTTTGTACTCTTCTAGAACCTTCTGTACTGCTGCCAAATTCTGGCTTTTGGTTCTAGAAGGTTCTAGAAGAGTACAAAGATATCATGCTGCCATCACATGCTAGAATTGTCTAAGATACTGACGGATGCTAAAGTAGCCTTAGAACCTCCTCCTAGAGCCTAGGAATCTTTGGTGCTAACTTGGGCATGAATATGTTAGAACCAAAGGTTTTCCAAGAAGTGTTGTCCAACAAGAGAGAACCCCAACCTTTAGGGTTTGGGAGGTGGTCCACTCTAAGGAGTGTGTACCGCAAGTTCTCCCAACCAATGTATTCTACACTATTATTGTGTAGATCCAACACAACATATATGTTTATTAGGGCAACCCGAATTACCACCATAATTCTAACACCTCCTTTTGCTCCAATAAGCATCAGATTTCGCCCATAAATCAAACCACAACCCCTCCAACGAATGAAGCATTGGCCTTTGTAGTCATCACTCGCATGTTGATGCGCTGAAGATTCTCATGCAACTGCGAGCTTGGGAGAGCTTTGGTGAGCATGTCGGCATCCTGAAGATGGGAGCGTACGGACTGCACCTCGACCTCCTTCTGGCGCACCGCATCCCGTACAAAGTGCCTAGCCACTTTAATGTGCTTGGTGCGTTGATGGAGAACGGGATTGTGGGCAAGGGAGACAGCAGAATCATTATCACATAACAATGGAATAGCCCCCCCATCACCCAGATGCATCTCAACTAACAAGCTCCTCAATCAAATGTCCTCCTTGGCCCCCTCCGACAGGGTATTCACCTTTAGTACTTATGCAAGCAACAATGTCTTGTTTCTTGCTATACCAGCTGATAACTCCTCCCAACTTGAAGATGTGGGCATAACGACTCTTGCCGCCAGCCTCACCAGCCCAATCCAAATCAGTGTACCCCACAATATGCTCACCACATTGGCGCGCATACCTGATGACACAATCAGCTGTGTCGACCAAGTACCTGAGTGTTCTCAGTGTAGCTCGCATGTGAACATGCTTTGGTGCCACGCATGAGTGTGCAAGGGTGTTGACAATGAAGGACATATAAGGACGGGTGGTAACAGCAGCATACATCAAGCGGCCAATAAGACTCTGGTACACCTTGACATCAGCTGCAACACCTTCCTCATTCGACCAAGTACATTTCCCGATCTTAGAGAGATCATTGGGTGACATGGGAGTATGCACCCTATGTGTCTCCTTCAGCAGATCACCAAACTTGACCTGAAGACCACAAGCATACTTCTCCTGGCCAATCTCTAACCACCCATCCTTGTCCGATCTGCCTGAGTTGTTGCCGTTGCTGCTACCGCTGCCTCCATGCTTCCCTCGCTTGTCCCATTTTCCCCTTCCGCTGCTACCCACTTTCATGCTTGATCCAAAAGTGGATACACCATTTGATCTTGGTGCGACACCAAACCGCATCTCCTCGCTCCTCAAGAGGTAAGCACCTGATCATTGGTAAGCAGTGATGATTGGTTGTTCAACACCACCTTCAGCATCTCAAAATGAGGTAGTCCTTTGAGCACTCTCATCATTCACTCCTCAACCTCCTCCTTCCCCCCTACAGCCAAGTACTTGGACCTCAAGTCCTCGGCACGCGCCCGGTATACAGCCACTCCCTCCTTCTATATAATCTTGAAGGAAGAGATCTCCTCAGAAAGTGCCATCAGGTTGCACAGATCACGCTGAAGGTAAAACGCCCTCACTCGTGTGTATGCCGCTGCTGTTCCTGCATGAACACGTGTGACTGCTCTTATTTCCACCATCAGCAGGTGCGCCGCCCAACTCGGTCTTGCCACCAAACTCTCGTACTAAACAAATCAGCTCATCTGGTACCAAGGCATTGCAGAATTGGTCGAATGCCTTTTGATTCCTCCTCTCCCACTTCTGTCGTGGATCACCTGATGCAGGCCGCTCCTCCGATTTATGAAAATACCCCCACGGGTCATGCGCCTCTGCCCATTGTTCGAAACGGAAGCTCCAAGTCCAATAGTCACTCCCGTCGAAATTTGGCACACTCTCCAGCTTCAATTCGCCCGAATCATGATCCATTATTAGCAGCAACAATTAAGATCGAAGTTGAGGTGGTGGTGGAGGCAATGTCGGCGAAGGTGAAGAAGTGGGCAGATTCACCCCCTCTTGTTTTTTGGAGCGTAACTGCGCGCTCGAACCTCTGAATGACAAACCGCTTGAATCAGCCGAATCCTCGCTTCGATCCCATGCATTGCACTCTTGGATCCCGCGTTCGAGCTGTCTGTTTAAACTCGCCGAAGTTTGCCAATTTTCCGTCGACGAAGACTCAACTGTTTCTCCATATTTTTGGCTTGTTGGATGCGCCCTGGTGTCCTCTCTTGGCGCCCGCCCTCCAATTTATTTTCCGCGCTTAAAATATTCCCCGGTTTGCGATTTTCCAATTCTGCCACCGACTTTTTTTTTTTTTTTTTTTCCCAACTGCGCCCGATCCGCTCATCGATTGGTGACGACGCCGAGGCAAATGTTTTAGACCTTTCCAAAGATATGATGCACGTCCTGATCGGTTGAAGATGATCGAGCGCTTCCGTGAATGGATGTCGCTTAAGGCTGCCGCTGCTGTCCCGGCTGTTGCAGAACTCTAGTAGATGCGATTGTAAAAGCTAGCTGGGCGTAGGAGCGGCAAGCTAGGAACAGCTGGCGCGAGGAAAGGCTGGAGCTAGAGACGGCCGGAGTTAGGAACTAGAAGTGCGGCTGCCAATCGCCGCTGGAAGAGCCGCTGGCACTGAGAAGTACCTGCAGTAGTACGGGATGCTGTAGAGGTGGCTGTGAGATGTAGGCAGCAGTGCGGGTCACCAGGTGGGCGGCAATGCAGGTGGCAGCTGCCTAAACCCTAAACCTTAAAAAATTATAGATTATTTAATTTACTTTACTTTGTTTCAGGCGCTAGCTCCTGTTGGTGCTCTGGCAGCGGCTGGTGGCGCGCTTTCAGCTCCTGTTAGCGCACTAGCTGCTGCTGCCGGCGCGCTAGGAGCTATTGGTGGTGCGCTAGTAGCTGCTGCTGGCGCATGCTTGCTGGCGGGTGGCCCTACGGGTAGGGCGTACGCGCTGGTGCGCGTGGTTGTGCGCGCTTGTCCGTGCTGCAGCGCGCGCGAGTGCGTGCTGGTGTGCGCGCTGGTGCGGGCTGCAGTGCGCGCTGCTGATTCGCGTCCTGCTGTGGCACGGGCTGCTGTTACGTGCCCTGCTGTGGTGCGCGGTGCTGCTGCTGTGCGTGCTATAGCGCGCGCTACTACGGTGCGTTCTGCAGGGGCGCGCTATGCTGGCGGCGCGCGCTGCTGTTACGCACCCGCTGTGGCGCGCGCTGCTGCTAAGCGCGACGGGCTCTACGGGGCAATGGGCGACCTAAGACGCGACGGGCTGCACGGGGCGACGAGCAGCCTATGTGTTGGTTGGCTGGACGGCTGGCTGGCTGGCTAAACGGCTAGCTGGACGGCTGGCTTACTAGCTAAACGACTGGTTGGCTAAATGGCTGGTTTGCTGGCTGAACGGCTGGCTGGCTGGCTAAACGGCTATCTTGCTAAACGGCTGGCTGGCTGGCTGGACGGCAGTATAAGACGTACGTGGCCTAGGACTAACCCGCTGATACCATCTCATAATTGTACGTAGCGGAATGAGTCTGACTAGCAGGAGATGGGTACAAATATGAAACCTAGAAAGTGTTGTACCCTATGCAATGCAACTCGATGTAGCCTAACAAACACGTATGACATTTGACATGAAACAGTTTGCAACATTTGGTCCAGGTCGATTAACAGCCGCGACAGTTGACGTGCGTGCTCTACATCAGCTAACGCAATAGCGGTACAGACGCAGCTTCACTATGAGTAGGTGCACTAGGTTGATACCTTATGGAATACTGTAGAAACCTTTCGGTTATTACAACACATACAAGATACACTATACACCGTTGTCTACTGATGCGGACGATTGTAAATTGGTGATTGCAATTACGGAGTCTAAACTCGATTGAAGTTTGACTCAACATTATTGTCAGATTGTGTTTGCTGTCTAGTCTGCAGTGGGGTACTCTGTAGTGAGTACAACCCAATTAGGGTTTCCTATTTGTATCCCAACTGTTGCTAGTGCAAGCTTCTCTTCTCTGTTTCATTCCTCGTTCTGATTTCACATGGTATCAGAGCGAAGGTCTCGGGTTCGAATCCCAGTGTTTGCACTTCGGGTATCCCAGTGCGGGGGGGTGTCAGATGTCCACTGGTGATCCCCGATTGATCCTAGGGGGGGTTATAGGCCAGTTAGCCTGGGGGGTTATGTGCGCACTGACCCGCTACTGAAACAAGCCCTTTTATCCCAATGGTCTAGTGGTTGGGATTCTGACATGATTTCACAATTATGATACCCTTACATTATGAAGTCTACTGTGCTTGTTTTTAAACATTTTTATTTTATGTATTAAAGAAGAAATTAATGTAATCTTCTCTGGTAAGTGAAGTGATGTAGACAATTTGGTTGCTTGTTCTAATGGCGAAACACTCATGAAAGCCTGAAGCAGGATCTGACGTAGAATCACTCCGTCCGCCGGAGGTTCTGGTTTTAACTCCTGCACAGCACACCGCATTTCGAACACGAAACGCGCGTTCGGCATCTCGTGGATCGCGAAGTCACTATTTGCGCGCCTCGCTCTCCCCGATCTCGCCGCTCGCCCCGCTCGCAGTGCGCGCAGGACACGCGAGGTTCCTCGCCGATTGCGGAGACCATCGGGACAAGGAGCGCAGACGAGGCAAAGCGCGAGGAGGCTAGGCGCGGGGGGCGGCGATGGAGGCGGTGGTGGAGGGGAAGGACTTCAGCTTCCCGCGCGAGGAGGAGAAGGTGCTGCAGCTGTGGGAGCGCCTCGACGCCTTTCACGAGCAGCTGCGCCGCACCGAGGGTCTGCCGGAATACGTCTTCTACGATGGGCCGCCCTTCGCCACAGGTGCCCATCGCCACAGGTGCCCTTCGCCACAGGTGTCGCCCTTCGCCACAGGTGTCGCCCTTCGCCACATGTGCGAGGTGCGACATTCGCTGCATTCGCGACTCTCTTCGTCAACCCGCACATGCGCGCAGCCGCGACTCCTTCCGCGCCTTCCCGCCACTCCCGCTGCCTCTTCTTGACCGCACCCCCCCCCCCACCCCTTTCCCTACTCCTCTTCTCCCCCCCCAGGCCTGCCGCATTACGGGCACATCCTGGCCGGCACGATCAAGGACGTGGTGACGCGCTACCAGACGGCGACGGGGCACCACGTCACGCGGCGGTTCGGGTGGGACTGCCACGGGCTGCCCGTCGAATACGAGATCGACCAGAAGCTCAACGTCAAGAGCCGCGACGACGTGCGTGGAGGGGAGAGGGGGCGGGGGAAGACAGGGGAAGGGAAGGAGAGCGAGTGAGAGGAGAGAGAGGGGGGCGGGGAGATGACGGAATGTGGGAGGGGCGCGAGAGGTGCTGCGGCCAGCAGGCTTGAAGTCCTCTTACTGCGCTGCGCCCTTGCTTGGCGCCGTTTGGTGGGGTCGTGACTGGTAGCTGGTGCTGGTCACTCTGGTCGCCTCAGAGCTCACAGGATGAAACAGGCCGCCCCGTTGCCGTTGCCACGAGGGCGCGGGAACCACAGGGAGGGAGGGGCGGGGACGAGCTTCGAGTGTTCTGAGAGAGAATAGCAGCAAGTGACCGAACCCTGGGAGGGAAGGGAAGGGAGGGGAGGATTGGGGAGAACGGGTAAGTGAGGGGTGTGAGAAAGTATTGTCAGGGCTGACCATGAAAAAGCCCTGACCTAATCAGATCTGTGAAGAGAATACTTTTGGATTTTCAGTGAAGACAGACTGGATGGCCTGTTAACGTATGCCCCGCCCTGTTGTTGTGGACGCCCATTCCATGCGTTGTGATTGGTGTGGGGGTGGTGTGGGGTGGTTTGTGTGTGTGTGGTGTGTGTGGCATGGCATGGCATGGCATGGCGTGGCAGGTGATGAGGATGGGCATAGACGTGTACAACGAGGAGTGTCGCAGCATCGTCATGCGCTACTCGTCCGAGTGGCGTGACATCATCACACGCATGGGCCGTTGGATCGACTTTGACAACGACTACAAGACGTTGGATGCGGGGTACATGGAGTCGTGCTGGTGGGTCTTCTCGCAGCTCTACGCCAAGGGGCTGGTGTACCGGGGCTTTAAGGTCATGCCCTTCTCCACGGCGTGCAACACGCCGCTCTCCAACTTCGAAGCCGGCCTCAACTACAAGGTGGGCAGCGCTCATGCGCGCACGATGCAGTGAGCACATCAACTGCATTGGGGAAGGGGACGGGTGGGGGTGGGGGTGGAACAGCGGTGCTCGCGGTAGCTGGCAGCAGCAGTGAGAGGCCGTGTGGGGCGTTGAGCGCACGAGGAGAAGGGCCGGCCCACTCACACTCTGGCAACACAGTGCAACAACCATGCTTGTGCGCACTGCCTCTCCATGCCTCACCTCCGCTGCCATGTGTGCACGCCCCTGCTGCCCTCATGCGCCTCTCTCACTCCATGGGGAGCGCAGGACGTGTCGGACCCAGCGGTGGTGGTGATGTTCCCGCTGCACGGGGATGCGGACGGGGCAGCGCTGGTGGCGTGGACCACCACGCCCTGGACGCTCCCCTCCAACCTCGCGCTCTGCGTCAACCCCTCCTTCTCCTACTGCAAGGTGCGCTCCCTGCCTCTGGCCCATCACACATGCACCGCCTCGTGAACCTCACCATACCTTACCGTATCACACCATACCGTGCGGTTGCTATCTGTGCATACTGGCACTACCACATCTTACTATACCACTCTATGCATCACCATTCTGTCTGTACAATAATCCACCATATCCCACCTTGCTATTCCATACTCTATGATACCGCGCTGCATAATCCCATAACCCACAATAGCATTTTATACCATACTATGTTATGCCATGGTGTATGTATGCCGCTTCAAAGAAAACAATACCATGGTGCACCAATCAAGCAACCCCATGTGGCCGGCGGTGTGCGCTGCGCCCCCCACTCCCCTCTTCTCAGGTGCGCAACCGTGACACAGGTGCCGTGCTCATGCTGGCCCAGTCCCGCCTCTGCGCCCTGCCTGGCCGCAAGAAGGCCAAGGGGGAGACAAAGGTGGAGGTAAAAGGGGAGGAGAAGGGAGGCAAGGCAGGTGGCGGAGAGAAGGGGAAGGGCGGCAAGGGAGGGGGGAAGAAGGGCGGAGGCAGCAAGGAGCAGAGCGGGGGGGCGGCAGCAGGGGGGGGTGGGGGAGTGGAGGGGCTGGATGAGTCGCTGTATGAGGTCATCGCCACCGTCACTGGCGCCGACCTCGTGGGGCTCACGTGAGTGCCGCCTCTCCCCTGCCCTGCACTGCATGCACGCCCACCCACACTGTGCTGTCCACATGTGTGCATCAATTTGAGTGCCCTCCCACCCTCATTTTCTCCCGAGCTTTCCCCCTTTTCCCATCCCTTCCCCTCTTTCTTTCCCCCCTTCCCCTCACCCCCTCCCCTGTGCGCAGCTACGAGCCCATGTTTCCGTACTACAAGGAGGCCATGCCCAGTGCGTTCCGCGTGGTGGCGGATGGCTTTGTGACGGACGACAGCGGCACGGGCGTGGTGCATTGCGCGCCCGCCTTTGGCGAGGACGACTACCGCGTCTGCCTCGCCTCTGGGATCATCGGCAAGGTGCTCTGCTGTGCTCTGCTGTGCCGTGCCGTGCTGTGCCGCGCCGTGCCCGTGTGGAGTGGTGTGGTTTGGTGGTAGAACACGTGGTGCAGGGGTGCAAAGCGGATGACTGCCTGTCTGTTCCACCCTGTGCAGCGACCTCAGCGCCACCACTCTGCCATTGCGCGTCCATTTATTTGTCTGTGCCCGTATGGGTGCATGTGTGCGTGAGTGCATGGGTGCATGTGTGCGTGGGCGCATGGGGTGCATGTGCGCATGGGTGCACGCCTGTACACATCATACATGTGTGCACCACAACGCACCACGGCAGGGCGAGGCAATACCGAATCCAGTGGATGACGATGGGCGGTTCACGGAGAAGGTGACGGACTTCAAGGGGCAATACGTGAAGGACGCTGACAAGCCCATTCTTGCCATGCTCAAGGTCAGGCGCTCTTGCCATGCTCAAGGTCAGGCGCTCTTGCCATGCTCAAGGTCAGGCGCTCTTGCCATGCTCAAGGTCAGGCGCTCTTGCGGCTCCTTCCTCGCTCCCCTCCTCAACCCCATGTAACGGTGCTTGCTTTACATGTCTTGGCCCGTACTTTGTGCTCATAAACACCCACTCCACTTGTCTCCGTTTCCCTCCCCCCCCCACACATCCCTTGCACGCGGAGAGCAGGAGGCGGGGAGGGTGGTGAGTGTGGGGAGCATAATGCACTCCTACCCGTTCTGCTGGCGCTCCGACACGCCCCTCATCTACCGCGCCGTGCCCAGCTG